ATCTTTTTATTTTTTTATACGCGCTGGCAAATTTATGTTAACCGGTGATTTAAGTTTTCGGCGCCGCAGTTTTTACCAATTTCTTTGTAGAATTCACAAGAGACATCAGCGAGATTCCAGTGATAATTCACTGGTGTTGTGCTGATGTCTTCAAGCAAGTCGGCGTAAAGTTTGATTATTTTTCGCTTTACCCTATGGAATTTGTAAAACTTTTAGCGCCTTTGCTTGATCCGTTCTTTTCGAGCTCGAAAAGCTCGCGAGTTCCTCTTCAGAACTTTTCCCGGTCGAGGATTGGTTAAATTATCGATAGCCTGGGGCTTCTTTCACAATATGCGTTTTACACACTGACTTACGACACAAATGCATTGTACGTAAGGATAAGCGAACAGATTTGTTTCATTGTGCGCGCAGAGATGAATTCACGAAAGACATAAATGCCATATGGCCCCTTTGGGTCCGCACGTAATGAGAATTATTCTCGATAGGAACGTTGAAGGTGAGAAGTCACGCAAGTTTGAACTTTACGAACAATCAGAAATTTATGCGCATTTCCCTGCATGGTAATGTTGAAGCACGGATTCAGGCTAAATGAATAATGTCCTCTATTCCTCATATAAAATTTTCCGAAAAGATTTATCATCACGCATATTAAATAAGTTTTTGAAGTAAGCATTCATGTTAATCCGTAAATGTCTGAATATTTTTGCTCTTTTCTACGCAGCCAGTAGCACGTTAAAATTTTTATTATTTTTTTTTAATAGACTAAATGTAGCCTCCGCAAAACTAAATATAAATATTTATAAATAAATAAGTATCCTATAATTTTTAGATAAAGTCTTTCTATACTTTATAACCTATTTTTTTAATATTTTATTTGTTGTATAAATATACATACGTGTCATAATAAGAACATGTGCACTGAGAGTAGATATTTGCGGAACGCGAAGCACAGAAGAATAGTTTCAGTTGCATGTCAGTCATGTCATGCTACGTCGATTTTTCAGCGAGTTACAGCCTTTCAAAAATTCGGCGTGTACATGAGCGCGACACGTGTGTGCGTGCGTTACGTTATGCTACGCGACTATAACGGTACTACGATCAGCTGGTCAGCTGATTGATAGTAAGTAGGTCACTATAGTTTATTGACTCATATATAGAATACGCGGCAATCCTGACCTAACATAACTCGATCAGTTTTCGCAGCACAGGTCGGGATTACTCGAAATATGATCGACATAAGCGACACTGGTCGATAAATTGTCAAAGTTTCGCGTCATTACGTACAGAGAAGTTGTAACGGAACAAGCAAGTTTCATTTGATAGCTGAGACTAGTTCCGAGTGCAGTCCCAGAATCATTTATCTCGGTGAGTAAGTTGCGAGATATCATCCCTTAATTACAAAAAATGAAATTAACCCTTTCGGTACGGCGGCGTAAAAACGCGGAACAGCTACCGGCCGACACTTCGAATTTATAGGTTAGGCTGCTATATTTACTACCTGCAATTTTGCATGAGATACGATTCTATCTCTTGATATGGCTTCGCAGTTGTAACGAGCGTTTCGCAAGCATTGTATATATACGCCTGCGGCCCCACGAGCGTCTTTGAACAGTATATATATGTATATATATATATATACATATATATATGCTCTCCATACCAAAGGGGTTAAGTCTCATGCATTCAGCTAGCACTCGAGCGGCAGGTTTTAACAAAATCTTGTAAGGAAGCTTTAATGCAGGACACTTAACAGTTCTCTCGCTTTTAACTATCCCGCGAAGATTCTACGCATTCAGGCGACTTTGTATCTGGAATGCGCAATGCGCGTGATTAAAAATGCCATTGAGGATTTGAAGAAAGCTGAGCAGCCTTTTTTGTCGGCAGCTTTTATGCTTGCCAGCTTCTCTCGTGTTACAAGCTTTTACGCTTAGAAGTGACAACTAACGCTCCATTAAATAACCGCCATGTATGCGAAACTATTCAGGATTTAACGCCGCAGAGGCGTACCATGGCGAGAACTTTCAAACCCGCAGCAATACTCGACGCTTTGCCGTCATCCGAATACGGAACGAAACAAAACATCGGTTTAATTGCGTTCGTGACCGAACCGCAATTCGTTGCCACCACTCTCTTTTAGACAGTAAACACGGGGTCAGTTTGTTTCGTAAGCGGCATTCGGTATGCATGCGAGTGCACCCGGCAATTTACTATCCTGTATTTGAGATAGCTGTCGGGACACAAACTGCCGGAACGATTAACGAGACTTTCGGTATCGTAAACGAGATTTCTCTTTTGTCTGCTGTGCAAAAAACAGCTGCGATAAATTTTACGATGTTCCGATACAGGCATTATTCTCTGAAACGACAACCCCCGTCTCGAACAGATAAGTTCTAATCTCGCGGACATTCGCGTATTAGAATAATTGTAAAATATTTTAGCAATGAGAAGATATGGAGTTGACAGGATTATAAGAGTGCTCCGCCTTCAGCGACCTGAGAAATGCGTTTACATAACGTTATCCCTTTCGCGACAAGAGAAATTGTATGTGTCAGAATGACATCAGAGAAACCCGAGGTCTCACTTAATGTGCTGATTTTACTTTTTTTCGCGAAGGACTCCATGTAAAGCGTGCGAAGAGTGTAAATTATAATAGAAACTTGGAAGGAAAACAAGAAAATTGGAAAATATCTCTTTTCCGCTTAGAAATTTCACTCTTCTTGGCAGAAATACACGTACAATATATTATTAGAAGTATGCAAAAGTTGTTTTTGTGGCCATCGTTTTTTTTTTAACAATTTCTTATAAATGATACAATATTTTTAGTTAAAATAATTTTCGGCTATTATTTTTTACTACTTTTTAGGGATACCGCGATAAAAAAAGTCTCTGTTTTTGGAAGAATCTATCTATACATGAGTGATTAAAACTTTTGCACATCTCTAATATAAACACGGAAAATAATTTTGCAAATTAAATGCATTAATACATTTGTACAAATTAAGATGACAATCGATAATTTTTCAAAATCGATAAAATAAAATTTTAATTATTCATATTCTACATTAGTTACCGTCAACAAGCGGAAGAGTGTATACGTTTTATTCTTATAACTTTCCTTTAAAGAGCTTTCGTTGATGCGATTCCGCCGAAGAGCGGGGCGAGAATCGATCACCATTATTAAATTTCAAAGCGCAACGTGAGCGTGCATTACGAAGAGTATTTCGTATGCGTTAGAAGCACCACAAACTGTTGGAACATGTATGGTAGTTAGGTTGTACTGCCAGAAGATGTTCAAAGCTGCTCCGAGAGGCGAGACGGCTGACAGCGGTTTCGGCTTGTCGCTGGAAGACCATGTGACATTGTCGCGCGACGCGAAATTTGCAACAGAAATCAGGAATAGTTTGGGAGGTTTGGGATAAATAGAACGCTTCAAAATCTGAGATTGATTAGACGCTTTCAATTTTCACAAGTGAGATGAACTGTTGGCGCGTTAGATGCCTTCTCGCAGGATCTCTTCTCCTTACTGCGCCTTCCATTATGGAAATCCGCGTGATGTTTCCTTGTATTGCACATTATACGGCATTTCCGTGATAACGTCAAAGTAATCGCGCGCGAAGTTGTTGCATATATATCGCATTATACGCTTCAAACGTTCACATTATACTGCGTTTCGCGCAAGCGCGAAACTATTTCTCACGGATGATAACAGCAATCTGTGTAAAAAAATGAACTCCGCACACAACGACATGTTTTTACTAGGCCAGCTTTCCAATTAGTCCGTTCAAGATTTTATTTCAGCAATCTCTCGCTTACTAATTACCAAAAGAATGATGTAATTTAGGCAGCGATGTAGAAAAATTGATAAAAGTTTGATCGTCGAGGGTATGCTCCACCTATATTCCGTAGATTTGGCCAGCGCAGAAAAAAGTAATTCCGCTGAAATTACTGCCGCCTCTGCGAAGCTTAACGTCGATGTAACGAGGTAACTAGTGACGTCAACCGCCATCAACTAGTAGACGCATTCTTCAATTTTTCGGGCGAGCGATGCGCGCATGCTATTTCTAAAGCGCTTTAAGCGATAGCGAAGAGACAGGTGCGGGCGTATACAAGCTGCTGCCAATAGAACTATAAATTTCATGCTGGAAACTCCAAGAATTCCAGTGCAACGTGTTAATGACAATGAGAATCTGTGGAATTCGCACGGCTTTTAATTTTCACTTTTGCGTGCATTCATAACTGTTCTAATTTTACACATATTCAATGGAATCCTATTAATTTTTTATCTTATTATTTGCTATATATGCTGTCATACATATTTCATGATAAAAAGCGGTTACGTACTGTTACGTATTATTGCATACTATTACGTACCATTGATTATAAAATAATTAAGAATATTTTCTACGCGAAAGAGAAACTGAATATCCGCTAATTAACCAGCTACTGCATTGCCTTCTAGTTTACATTTTGTATCATATTTTTATGTGCAATTTTAATTATATCAGTTAGCGAATGGAAGAGAGATTTTAGAGTAATCAATATTTTCAATATTTGGTGGAAAATTAATGTATGCGATAAATCGTTGATTTGTTGTGCTGTATGAGTCAAATTGTCGTTACTTTAATAATTTCTTATTGCATTATGGGATTAAAAATAAATAGGATTTCAAACAAACTCACGGATTATGCAATTCTGAATCGATAATCAAATATGGAAATCAATTGTGAATTAGAACAGTAATGATGCAGAAGTGCGGGATTAGCATATTTACATATTTCTTGCATTAATTTATCTCTCAATCGCATTATTTTCATTTAAAGCTCATCATTAATATTAATATCAGCTTTTTCTCAATTTATCAAAAAAACACAGTGCTTTGCGCAAGTAACTTTTAATCATATTATTTCACAATATTTTGATTATTGAGAGAAGGATTTGATTGCTAAAAGCTCGACAACAATTACACGAGAGACGTTTGCGTTGTTAATTGACTAACTCACCTTGGTATCATTGTAAATAAGACGCAGTCGAAAGCGCTTTAAGATATTCAGTTCGTTGACACGGTCGACCGCCAATTTGGCCGCTTCAAGCTCGCTGGAACCTTCTTGTCTTGGCACTGTTCCGTGTGTCATCTCAAAGAGACCCAAGATGGTTATATTCGTCTTCTCTATCGATTTTGCACTCGGCACTGTTACATCGATCCCCACGTCGGAATCGTTACGCGTCGCGTTTTCGGTGTCACTGTCCACGGTATTCGAAGTCGCCGCGACATAGTCCGGTTTAGCGGTCGCAAAACTCGGCGAACGTCTCCCCGATGACATACCAGGTAGCCAGGATTCGTCTAAGGTATCGTTTCGCTTTTCGTCTCTTTCGATCGTCCCTGCATCTCGATCGTCTCCCTTGCCCATTTCAACATCGTCGGAATCGTCGTTCGGCTTGCGATGACGATGAAGCACGTCCCTGCTGGGACTCTTCGGTAGGTCGGGAAGCACGGTACTCGAGTATTCTGCAGACGTTTCTTCAAGCACGTCCTCCTTGTGCGGACCGAAGTGTCGCCTGTCGAACTTCTCGACTTGCGGCACCACCGGCGATGCCTTGTGATTGATTTTTACGGGGAATTTCTGAGAACCTTCGAAGCCTGTAAAAGGTGCTTCCTTATTGACATCGGTATCGCTGTCGTTGCCAGGCGTCGTCGTCGATCCGTTGCTTATTTGCGCAAAGTCATCTTCAGATTTGTCCTTCCGATTCTCGTTTAATTCTTCCTCTCCGCCAAACTTTTTTGTTCTAATTATTGTATCGGTACTGTCACTCGACTCGGAGCACACGTTGTCACGACAGGTTGCAGTTTGTATTTCAGTTCCACTTGTATCCAAGAAATTGTCGATGTACTCCGAGCTGGTCTCCGTCTGACTCTCAGGAATTCTATCGATCTCAGCTTGGTTCTCCACGAAAACAGTAGTGCTGACGTCGAAGTCGTCGACAGCCGCGATTGTATCGATATCTGAATCGTTCCTGTCCAAGTTCGCGGACTCATTATCGGTTCCAAAGTTATTGCTTTCATTGAGATAATCGGTCAAACTCTCGGATTCGCGTGCGCCGTCGCTCGGATTATTAAGCGCATAGATATTGCGGTTGCTTAAATGAGTTTGCGTCATTGCCTCTAAGCCGACAGTCTTGCTCGGATCTCCCGTCGAATCGTCGCGGTGTTTCGCCACAACGTCAATATCGTGCTCACTCGGTCGGCTTGAGGCCTCGCTCTCGCGCAAACTTCGCTGGACCGAATAATCGCTCGTGCGTTTATTCGCACGATTAACAGACGCTTCGCCGAATACATTATCGACACTTAGACCCGCACGCTTTGCTCCGTCGAAACTGACTTCATTACGATCCTGTCGACTTCTCGTCGGCTCCGTGAGATGAATGACACTTGAAGATTCGCGCGAATCCAACTGATCGATCGGAACTCCAATCAATGCATCCTCTGCATTGCGATCGTGAGCGGAGCTCTCTGCTAAATTGCTTACACTTTGACGAGGTTCGTCTAAAATCGTCGAACTTGCTTCATTATCACTAACTTGATCGTCTCGAAATTGGACTTTGCTCATAGCCGGATCCGCCGAGTGATAAGGAGCAGTTTGGGCCACCGGTATATTACGTCGCTCCCTGACCAGCTTGTTCAATCGATTTTTCACACTTTTTTCACCTTGCTTCATAATTTTCAAGCCGATTCCGTCACTGATCTCTCGATTTTTTACAACATCACGAAATCGATCGTCGGAGTCTCGTTCCAGATAATTGCTCGCAAGTCCAGAAAGAACTTGATCGCCGCGTTGATGATCAGTAGTGCTCGCGGAAGCGCCATCGTCAAAGTAAGTTCGTTTCGTCACCGCTGGAACGAATTTATCTTGATTTCGTTGATCTTCCAGCAAATTACCGGGGCGATGATCACTGGTCGCGCGGTTAGCACTTTGACCGACCATGCTCGACGCTTCCTTCTCTCGCTGCATCCATTCCGGAATCACTCTGGGAGCGCCGAGGTCTCTTCCCTCCGAATTTCTTACCTCGACGTAGGGAAGCGCGCTCGGGTCACGGCTCTGGGGCCTCGTCTTCTCGTCGCACGATAGGACTGTGTTGAGAGAGATGAATCCGAGAAGGAGGAGGGTCAGGCAACAGCGTGCGTGAAGGGCCTCGGAGGAAGAGAATAACAGGAGGAGACGAGAAAAATGCCGCCGCGTGCGGACGCGCGTCATAATCAGTCGTCGATTCTGTGACGACTCGAGACGCTCTTCCGATTTCTTCTCATCTGTAACAAAAGAGATCCGTAAGCCGAATGATTATATAAATTGTAAATGATTCTGAAGAATAATGGGCTTTTTGCGCGCAATTAATTCTTAATGGACATTTGACTTCGAAGAAATCTTTATTCCGAGATTCAATTTTAACGTAATACCTCATAACATCAATCGAATTTTCTTCTCGGATATGATGGATTTGGATAACAGAAGTTCTTCGTACATGTATATACAGAATCGATACCAAATACGATAGGCTTTATTACATTCTTTTCCATCTCCGTGAAAAAGTACTTTCGGATAAATCAGATAACTCGCAGTACAGACAAGTAACTTGCAAAAGTGTTCGAGCCGTTTGCTATTTATAGGTGAAAAGTTTATTCACTTGTGTTATAAATCCACTCGGCATCAGAAGCTCCCGTATATCTCGAGCGGAGGAAAGTTTCGTCGGTTTTCATAGAAGTATTTTACATTTAATCTGTGCTTTTAGAAAACTCATTTAAGACTTGTTTTTGTAAGAGATTGTACGCACGTACGCTCTAATTAATTATAATCTACAATTATTATCAGGACAAACGGGTATTGCGACAAAGCTTATCCGTGTAATTGGAAAATAGAGTAATCTGCTAATGGAAATATTCATACATAAATTCTCGACCGGCTAACGCGAGTCGATTTTATGCTTGGAAGATTCGATGTTCTCAATTTAAATAATAGGCTTACGAGAATGAAATAATTTCGTTAAATTGGCAAGCAAGCACAAATGAAATTTAGCTGGAAGTATTATGACGCGGGAAATATAACTGCGACATTATAATACATTTTTATGAGCCACTTTAGGTCTCTGAAATATGTTTGCGAAGCTAGCTTACTCCTGAAAAATTAAAATGGATTTATACCAAAAATTTACTGACATTTCGATGTTAGTTTAGTGCTCTATTCGCAATTTTATCGCTCCAACTGTTTAACTTGCAATTGAAAGTGCTAGCGTTAGTTCACGCGATTTCGTTAAAGCTCTCCGTATCAACTTAATCCCACTTTTTACGCGAGTTTTATATTTACGCCGTATGAAACAAACGACATGTAGATTTTATTTTTTGAAGTATAAATAAATAAAATATTATTTTATATAAATGCATAAATAAAATTTGCTTACATTTACATTGAAATTAATTTCAAAAATAATTGTTATTATGTATGTTACCGTCAAAGCCTAAAGAATTCGCAATCCTAAGATTGCCTAGACAAAATTGAGATTGTCAAGAGCGTTTTAGGAAATGAAACTTTATTTTCGATCTTTCCCGAAAACAATTTAGGCAACCTTAAGATTACCTAAAGCGGTTTAGGCAAATAAAAAATAAATAATAAATCAACATTTCGCTCTTGACAAACTTAACTTTGCTTAGACAATCTTAGGATTGCTGGGCTTTGCCAGTAACATATATGTATTAAAGTATTATTGTTTAGAACAGGACTCTTATACTGTTCGATTTATAATCAAGTAAGAAGTAGCTGATAAAAAGAAAGGATTGTATTATTGCAAATATCAGAATCTTACAAGCGTCTAACAATTGAAGTACATCTGAAAATACAGTACGGAGTAAGATTGTGAAAGAAAAGTGATCAGACTGCCGCAGTAATCGGATTTCCATTGGTAAGTAATGGGGTTTCAAACGAGATTAAAGAAGTCTTCGGGTTGAACGAGTTCAAATTGTTATCTACGTTGTTATTACGTGGTTGAAATGTGGATAAAAAGTTTATATCGATGATACAAACGAGATGTGCTTGTTTTTATCCGGATACAAAGGCTATCGCATAAAAAAGAACCAACATTTTTTACAATTACGAAAGCCGATGAGGCTTATGGGTAAATGTCCATTAGCATTTACCGTCCTTTGTCGCAGTCGAAAGATCCATTAAGACGTAATATAGTTACACGGTAGTATCGCGCTAGTAACGCTATTAGCTGCAAACTCTGTTATGAAAGTGCACGCGAAATGTTTCGAAGCGCGACTGCGGAGCTTTTTTCGGAGCGGAAAGTCCGGAAAGCACGAATTCAATATTAAATCCTATTATTTCATTACGCTACTTTTCTCGTTTTGATTTGAAATTAGCAAGATTTGCGAACGATGCTATCTCTCACCGAAGAAGTGGCTGGCTCATTCGCTACGAAACATACGTTCGTATTCTAACTTAAAAACGTCGTTGCGTAATCTGCTCAATGCTAATGAAACGTGGAAGCGACAACGGTACGAGAATCGTGAAAGGTAACATAATGAGCTCGCTAATTTTTCATTCGGGCAATGAAATTGTTGGACTCGCTTAAATATTTCAAACGCATATTATAATTTCATAGCGTTGATATTACAAGACAAATGCAATTAATTTTACGCATATTTTGCGTCCGGCAATTGTTGTTACAATTTTTGCGGCAAAACTAAAATTTTGAAAAAATATTTAATTAGCAAAATATAAATAACAGTTAAAGAATCATTTTAAACGCATTGTTTAAAAATTCGAATACTTTACAAATAAAAGAAAAAGAAAAACTATCTCTAAATAATTTTTAATTGAATTTATAATATTATTTCCATTAAATATCCATCATGATTAAATGATACTGTACGTGTGCATAAAATATCTAAAAGCTCGATGTATATTATGTCAGATTTTAAATAAAGTACATGCGAATCGGTGACAGCGAGCGAAAAAAATGACAAATGGCTGAAAAACATTAACGTCGGAAACGCTATCGGAATGAAGAGAATATATTTCTTTTAAAAATATTTTTGTGTACAATTGGTTACTTTACGTCTTACGTAGGCTTTCCTCTTAATTCTGAATGAAAAATTTATATAAGAATAAATAAGAATTAATAAGAATGTCCACAGAGAGCACTCAATTTTAAGAATAAATTTAAAATTACGTGAAAAATACATTATTGTTCGAGAGTTTTGACGAAATAACTAATTTACTATAAAATAGTAGCGCATGAACAGTGCAGTCGTACACATTTTTTCTATATTCAAAACTTTTACACATTAATTAACTTTAGCATTCTGCAGTATAACGAACTCCATTTAACTATGTATTAATGCAAACTATTAATCATTATCAATGCCCTCTTTTTTTTCCTCGAGCTCTTATAAATCATTTTATATTTATGAGACACAATTCTCGACCGTATCATTATTTACCCCGTCGGCCGGGGATATTATCTTGCTTGCTACAATAAGATTGGTTTTATTTCGAGGTTCTCGCGACAAGCGAAGGGTGGGACCAACGCTCCTCCACAGACGTCTCGGTTGACATAAGAGCAGAAGGTACGAAGCCTCGCGGAGATCCGTCGAACCTGACCCACCGTAAATTGCGGTCGTGTGTCTCATGTATGCCTTGGCAAAGGGTGGGCGGGTGGCTCAATTCGAACCGAGAGACGGTGAACGATGTGTTATAGGATGGATAGTTTCCGGTATTCCTACAGATTACCCGTGTAGCGGAAGTGTCGTGAATATATACGCGAAGTGTGTCTGATCAAGAAATATTCCCGATAAGTCTATAATAGCGACGATAATAACGACGGTCGTAACATCTTTTAATATCGTTACCGATTGTATACAAATAATGCACGAAATGCGCGCCGCAAATCGTCATTATTTGTATGATTTAGAATTAAGTTATCGAATATGAAATTCCAATTCGAAAGAAATTTTGTGAAAATTTAATAAATAAATTATTACGAGAGTTTGCTATCTCTGGTATCCAGAGTCCCTAGAGGAATTTCTTGGAAATTATGTGTGGGAGTTGAATATTGGCTTCTCGAACACTTACTTGTGTTGCGAACTTACTATGGTAAGCTAGATCATTCAAGACGGACAATGTCTCTGAATATTTAATGTAAGTCTATATCTCTGCCAGGATTATATCTGATATGACATGTGAGATCACAATTTTTAATATCCTCGCGGCAGTAAAGAATGTTACTTAACGTACAGTGATGTTAATATGTTAAAATAATTTTATTAGCCGCTGTTTTCTATGAATATGTTTACGTCGCAATTGCTCGAGGCGATACAATGCGCAACAGATAACAGAACATTGCGTAACAAATAATAGAAGTAACTAAGTAACTGAAAAAAGAAAATGCGGAGAAGTTGCATGAGAAAAGATTTAAAGAGCTGAAGAAACCCAGACTTTTAAATAACGCTCAAGATTCCATTCTTCTTAACGATTGTAAAAAAACATCTCAGCAAATTACTTTTTTTTTTAAGTAGTAACAGCGGATTGAGGGCAGACTTACAAAAGATACCATCTGTTTTATCTACCAGCTTTCAAAGCTGTAATTTCGGGATATACATTATCGATTATGCTTCCAATTTATATCTTTATGTATTTATGTATCCAATTCATGTTTCATTTTTAATTAATTGGTTGATCTTAAAAATAAGTCTTCTTCTTGTAATTAAATGTAAATCGCAACTCTCGCTGTTAAAACTGTTAGTCGATTTAATTTGCAAACGAATGGACTCAATATTTAATGGTTTAACGGATTGATGTGGTCTGATTTTGAAACTTCTCAGCAGACAAATGAGTCATATTCCAGTGGGACAATCTCTATGGACCCAACAGACAAGTCCAATGCAGAGTCCAGATTAAATTTTATGAAAACAGTTTCGTCAAAGTAAGAAATTCACCGGCGGATAATCGGGGATTATTAGTTGAAACAATATTTGTCAATCCCGTGTCTTGCATAATGATTGCTGTTTTTGCGAACTTATCGATATCTTTAGTTAAATTTGTATCAATAGACTTATTTTGAACTGATCGCGCGATACAAGTTGAAGTTTGTTCGCGGCGTTAAAGAAATTTATTTCACTTCATAAAACTTTGAAGCGCATAACTCTGAATAACTTGTGACTTTGACCGATGAGGTATAACATTGATACATTATTCACTGAACTATTTGAAATATTTATTAATATTCAAATATTTAACAAATTGTTATAATGCTTTCATATATCATGATCTTACGTAAAGTGACCATTCGATTATGTTTATATTGACAGGAAAATGTGAAAGCGATGATAGCAAGCTGCTACCAAGGAAGTCGCCACGGAAACGGCACATTGAATTTCAACGACTATCCTTCACGCTACATGAGCGCCGAAGTTCTCAGTGCAGTTCAAAAGACTGAAGATATCGAGTTTCTCAGCGTCGGCGAGATCATGTCATAGGAGTTTCAGGTAAGCGTGCATTTTATCACGAAGGGAACGCTAAACTATAAGCGGAAAATCTGAGCGGAACATATGGTCCTCAAGTTTGTTGATGGTTGTAATTTCTCGGAAGAAAGGAAAGTCGGTCGACTTGAAAGGATGATCTTAAGCGCGCAAATGATTCTTTTTTTTATATTTTTATATGCGCAAAAAACGTCGCATATGGTGTTATTATAATTGTTCTAAGAAAGCGGTGCAAGTTTATTTTAGAAACTGTACCGAGTTGATAGTTTTATCTTACATTAAGACCGCGCAATTATGCTTACAAATTAAATTGCGTCTAAAGCGCTTATAATTAAAATTGCTAAGTATTTTATATACATCACGTGGAAATATATTGCGGGCGGAAAATTATTGTAACTGCACTGTAATTGCAATATAAAGACTCTGTTTGGATTTGCGATAGGAGCAGCCGTATGTGTGGCACCAATCGTTAATATTGTTGATCACTGAATGTGGTACACGCGTTATCGTTCGAAAATATCTCCGATATCCGTTGAAAAGCGTCCGTAATAAACGGATTCTAGGCTCAGAACAGGTTCGCGTCAAACGCCGAGTATTTATAGTGCCGTAACGGATAAATCGTAATACTCTGGAGCTGTTAGCGTCTTGGCCGACGTGATCGCTTTAAGATGCGCGTCTGAAAAGGTGCAATAAAGCGGATAAGTACGCGAATTACCGTAAAGTCGTGCGGCATTCCTCTTCAGGCCACATTTCTCTCTCACACGGTTTCACCAGAAACTGATTCCGGTGGTCCCTTTGCTAACTTTCGCAGACGAGATCCCTTCTTATTACTCCAGTTAGTACGTTTTAAGCCGTTTTCACTCGCGAACCGAATTAAGCGTCGAGCGTAACTAATACTCTGTTGCCATTTATCTCGGGGACCACCTGGTTTAGGAAGGTGGCACTGAGCTCTTCATCACAGCGCGTTCAATTTATGTATCGCACGACACATCCAATTTACGCATTGGACGGGATATCCAATCGAGCTTTTGCTCTTTGATCCCGGAGGATCGCCCTCTCTGATTGTTCCGCGGTAGCGATTGTATTTCGGGATTATCTCGACACTCATCGACTAGTGTCGTTCTATCTGGATATATTTACGGAGCGCTCGAACACCAAGATCGTTCTAACGCGACTGATTAAAGCGGCGTAATCAACATATTACAGTGACACAGTGTCGTTAAATAAACGCGTGAACGTATATCTATAATGCTCGCGAGTGAATTAATATTCTGGACGATGCGAGAGGGATGGAAGGATAAATTCTCCACATGTGTTTAATTTTTTTATTCGCGCGCTGCGGTGGGGTAATAATTATCTCGGTCCCGCTGAAGTAATTCGCACTGCACTGGCTATACTATTTTTGGGAAAGTTGGTACAGAGCTGCAATTCCCCGCGCTCAATTTGGCGGGCAAATTAATGGAACGATGCATTGTGTCCCCGGAGCCTGTTTTAAACATGACGCGTATACTTTCATCTAAATTGCCAACTGTGTTTACTGTCTCTCTTTTTTTTTTTTTTTTTTTCGACAGTGTCACAAGTGCGAGCGAGTGGTACGCTAAAGCGACGTTTGAATTTTCTCTCTCAACGAATTGTTTTGATCTCGTGGTCGCAAGCTTCTTCGGGGTGGTGTTTCGCGCAGGTGTCTCGGTATCGCTTCCTTAAATCCGAGCGATGCGTCGCGAAAGAGCAACCGCGTCGCGTGGTGGCGGTCCGCGCACTGTTGCCCCGTGATATTCGCCAACCCTTGTCTGCTAGCAGGAGTTTTAGTGGCGTTACCGGCAATGCGCAGCCGCTCGTGCCTCCTACACACGGCCTTCGGGTACGTGAGAGAGGAAGCCCCCGTTTCGGCCCTCCCGGCATGTGTGGATCCTCGATCTTTCTTTCAATCTCGCTCGCGGAATTCCCGATGTGTGGACATTACGGCACATATGCGTCCTTTGACATTTCTCGCACGGGAAAGTTTCTTTTCGGATTTTCCCTTCGAGCTGGGACAGTTTTGAAACTGGAAACGCAACCGGAAACACATTGAATTTTCAACGAGTTTGTATTTGAGGATGTATTGTTAATTGACCTGATTAATGTTGGATCGTGAATAATATATTAAACTGTAATAGTAATATTATTAATAACATTAATAATTTGTGACGCTACATATTAATTATTTCTCATTTTATTATTAATCACACAATATTGCGTGCCGCGTAAAATAACAATAGCTTTTTCTCCGCTGTTCTCCAGAATTCCAATTTGTTACATGCGTTTGTGATAGTACGCGTTAAGAATCATTAAACTCGGGCTCTTTACTATCCTCTTTAATTAACGAGTTAATTTCTTAATCAACGTCAGCAGCAGATAAATGAGGTTATGTTGGTCTTATTCAGGACATCATTTACTATTCGGTAAGAGTTTCCTCGATATTTTCGTGCTCAAAGCTGGGGTAACTCTCTAAACGTCTCGATGGAACTCCTCAATTGCCACAGCCATATCTTGAAAGCTTTTCCTTTTAATCTTACGGCGATTAAGTTCGTCCTGGCACAATTATCCGCGTAATGAGAAGTGGCCTGCGCGAAAGTTCCGGATGGCATTCGGGAACGGTTTAGGGCTATATCGTCGTGGAAGAAATTAATTAGATGAGCAATAAACTTTATTCTCCCATGTTCAATTCTTCGGCCGCGATGATAAAATATGCCGAATGCCATTTTACGTATGCGCGGGTGACAGTTTGTGTGCATATATTGCCGCGAATTCCGCCGTTTAGAATTTGAAGGACGATAAGAGTGCAGCGATGTTTCTCGCTGCGAGCCCCACTTCATTCTCCGAATAATTTACCCGTAGCGGGGGTAAAGAGCCGCGCGCGCGACCTTTCGCCAGAGATGCATTCGTTTAATCTCTCAGAAATGAGCCGTAGGAGTTGGGATTGTTCCTTCATTTCATTCACAGCCATACTTTCTATGGCCCAAGTTTTGAATTGACGCTGAGCGGCAAACAATGAACTTTCCGTTGATTGCCCTTAAAGAGTTTGCTGCAATCAAGGCGAATGCAATTTTCGTTTGATGAGTAAACGAAACTGCCGGTGTGCCGAAATGCTGTAAAGGATTTTAACCCTTCGGACGTTGAGATATGTGACTTTCTTACTAAAATCGGGGCAATTAATATCCTAAGTATCAGTAATTTATTTCCGCAAAATCGCAGCTGAGTTTTATAGCAGTTTTACGTCTCGCGTAGCTATAAGTCGCGGCGATAAGTCAGTCCACAAGAAACAGAAGAAAGTGAATTTTATTTTTCGCGCAATATGAATAATTAAAATTGCCATAATGCAGCAAATATTTGACAACTTCCTACAACTCCCAAAAACCATATTAAAATTTTCTGAATACAAAGTTTGCGCTTGGTTTAGAGTGCAAAGCATAATTGTGTATGCAAATTAAAGCGGTGCGGAAGCATGAGTTTGTTAGAATAAATAACTTCCCTGACAAGAGAGAATCGCAATTTGTACGTATATCGCATCATCATCAAAGGAGCCGATTCTGTTGCTTTTTTGTTAGCGTCGGAAGGGTGTAAGCGTATTATCAGCAACGCCGCGCGCGCTTAATTTCCATTAATAAGATTAGAAATTGCAATCTACCGTCCACCTTTCGGTCAACATAATGCAACGAGTGATTCGACGGACAATGAGAAAACGCGCGGCTTATAGTTGCTGTTTCGCATAGAACCCTGCTTTGTTGCCGCATTCTGAGCTTTCTCCGAACGAAACGTTCAATCTGAACGTTCAAAATGAATCAGGCGACTGAAGAACACTGGGAAATAAAAATCTCATTCTAGATAATTATCGCTAAAAGCCGCGCGGAGTATTTGCGAGGTTTTACACTCGAAAATTAATTACAAGTCGATTAATGATCGCTGTGAAATCTTTGGAGTTTTCCTCAAATAAATGCTTATCTGCAATGATTAAATGGCGCTTTACAAACTTCATCTCGCACTGGATATATATCGCTTTTGAATCTCTCAGAATTTCGTTAATGAGAAGCCTACCGATATCGATTCATCCTCTACAGTCTACTATCGTTTATGAGCGATGCTCATCAGCGATGAGACGTATCCGCCATGTGATGTCCCTAATTGGATTTCTCGAGGGTTCTAAAACTTACGCTAAAATATGTCAAGCGAAATTATTACGCGGACAAATTTCCCGTAGTATTTTCTCTTCATCCTTGAATTCCGCGCCTCTTCAAGAGAGATCGATCGAGAGTTGAACATTTCTGTTTTGCTCTTGACTGATCGTATAAAGCGATTACGTTGGCCCTTTCGGAAGGCAGGGGCAAGGATAACGGTAGACATCCGGTTCATCGGATAATACCCTTTGTGTCGCTCCTGAACTTGTAGGAGTTCAATTTGCTGGACATGCTTCCGGCGATCATATAGATGGCCGGCACGTGTGTACGATCCTTACAGAGTGAATGATGATGAGGTGATTATTCATAATGCCGTCGGAAGGGGCAAAACAGGCTGGATTACTCAGCAGTCGCCAGTTAGAACTGGATATCTTAAACCGGATGCATTATAATCGTTGATCCATTTATTTATGAATTAAGCAATTATTTACGACGCGTATTTATGGCGTCCGCCATAACACATGCAGAGGTGCACCAATCAATGTGCACCATTAGAGGATAAAATTTTACATTTATCTCTGATAAATGTGAAATAAAGCGCGTCTCTCTTTCCGCTATATTTGTCGAAAGACGTAAAATAATTCATTTATTATCTACTTTCTACAAAGTTAGCGACATTGTATGCATGTTCGCTATCTGAATTGAAATTTTCTTTCGAAAATTGGAAACTTTGCTATGTACGACAGGGCGAAGAATATCAATATAATACGCCGGCGGAATAATAGCAAGATTACGAAATAATAGTCCCGTAAGGTCGAATTAGTTCGAATTCACTGCGTCTGGTTTCAAGTTAGCCTGGACTACGTGATTGCATCGAATCCCAATGGCAAAATCGCGAAATTCGCCGAACAATATATGCTATTCAGTAAGCTCGCGCTAGGTACTAAGAATATAATTTTCCGTTATATTCTGAACACCTAATGCCTTCATCGATCGTTTATCGCGTCATTGTGGACGATAAGACGGCAGACGATCTGCATGGTACATGCAAACGCGTCTATTGAATGAATTGATTATGCTATAGATACACGGTTAAATGCACTTGCTATCTGTTCTCGATACCAATTGATACACGTTTGGTATTCACATTCGACAAATTTAAACCTTAAACATATAACCTCGTGATTAAAGACGCGTTAGAATGAAACACCTAATGGATGTGTCTATTATTTCAATTTGTTTAATTGATTTTTTATTTTATTTAATAGTAATTTTTAGCTTGATATTCTTTTCTTGGCTTGGGTGAAAATATTCCTAAAAACTACGCCATGAGATATCTTTTCAAATTATTCGGTTGTCGAACAGAAGTCAAGTCGGAGACTTTGTCCGACTTTCGTCTCTTGTTATTTTGTACTTTTATAAATTTAATGTGAAAAACAAAGCGCTTCTCTGCATCTTGCAAAATTACAGTATGGAATGATATCTCTAGTTCTGTGTCTCGTAAAGTTCTCGAAAAATCGACGTTCAAGGTAAACCGTTTCTGCTTTCTTCATTAATTTTTACAATTTAAATTCTAGCACGGTTTTATCAAGCACTCGGGAATAATCCCGGCGCATAAAACCGGTGCATAAATCGTGAATGTCACAAAATCGTCAAAGGCTCTTACTGACTAATCTGCTTTTATTACCGTCACCGTTCCATCGGTGCTCGCACTTAATTCGAATTTTCCACGAGACTTCCATATTCAAACGACGTTTATTCGACGCGTTACAAAGCAACACAGTTGAAATGCAAGAATTTTCTTCATCGTGGGAAGAGTATCACGTCCCTTTGGTATTATAATGCGATTTGAGTACGAGATAACAAGATCCCTATAATATAATGACGAACTCTCGAAATAAATGTGTTTTTATATTTATAAAAAATTATCAAACATTAATGAAACTGCACGCGCATGCAGCGTATAATACTCCGCTATATTACATCGTTGTAATTATTCCATTGATAAATAATGAGCGTGATACTAAATGAAAACAAAACTTGAAAAGTTTTATATTAAATCATTATATATATCGAAGAATGTGACTAATCACTTTAATGGACGGCGATTTCGATGCGGCGATAAGAAACACTAGAGAAATAAAAAAAGTAGAAACTAGAAATGAAAAAATAAAATAATTATAAGCGCGGAAATGAATTAAAATTGTGAAATAAGCAACTAATTAGCTAATATAATTTATATTGAACAATTAGTAAACTCTTGTAGAAAACTTTTTTATATAAGTTTAGCGCTAAATTTTTCATTATTTTTTTAAGTTTTAACGTTCTCGGTAACCAGGTCTCAAGTTTAAAAAATTCATTAAACTTAAGTTTACCTAAAATTGGTTAAAGA